TCACCAGCGCGACGCAAGGTACTGGCCATCATTGGCCTCGGGAATCCGAGGAGGAAGTGCCAGCAGGCGCCCTTCTGCTGCGTGCCACTACGAGGCAAAGGTGCACATGCCATCCCATGCCGATGTCGAACTAGTAGTCGTGGAGCATGAAGAACCAGGGCTGCGCATCCGACGACGTTGACCAGGAGGCCCTTCATCTGCAGCAGCACGATCACGAGAGGCAAGCTCATTCAGAGAGCCCTTGGTGCTACAGACGTGTTCCTTCAGTTGAAGAAACCTGTTGGCGCGAGCTGACAGCCTTCAGCTCCCTGCGTTGCGTTACCTGCGTCCTTCTCCAGGTTGGCGAGCTGCGCCTCCACGATGTCCATGCGTGCGGCCTGCGCGTTGACATCGTCACGGATGGCTTCCAGGTCGCCGATGACGTCCAGAGTCCTGGTAGCAATGCGGAAATCAATTTTCTGCACAAACTGGATGAGAAGACTGGCCCACGCAGGGGCCTGCTCGTTCGCAGTGGCGGCAGGCGTGCTGGGATGGTGCGAAAAGTCAACAGTCGAGCGGGAAAAGCGGAGCAGCTCGAGCAAAGCCGTTGGCTAAAATTGAGCTCGAAGCGTCAGGCTCCAGGTGTAGACCTTGAGCCAACATTGCTGCAGATGATCATGAGACTGCTGCTGATAATTATGTTGATGATGATGCTGATGATGGTGGTGCTGCTGCTGATGATGATGATGATGATGCGGAGGAGGAGGAGGAGGAGAAGGCGAGGGATCATGACGATGCTGACGATGATAATGCTGTTGATGAGTATGATGATGGTTAAGACGATGGTGATGATGCTTATCACGATGATTACCACGATGCTGATGATGATGATGCTGATGATGATGAACATGATGATGATGATGCTGATGATGATGATGATGATGATGATGAAGAAGCTGATCATCATCATCATCATCATCATCATCATCATCATCATCATCATCATCATCATCATCATCATCATCGTCGTGATGAGGAAGAAGCGGATCAGGGGGGGGAGGGATACATGAGAAAGACGTGGAGGCAGGAGGACGATGGTGAAGATGCGAAGGGAGGAACGAAGATAAGGATAATATGATAAGATGATGATCAAGCTGATGGTACTGACGAGGATGCTGAGGGAGTGTCAATGAACTTGTGTAGGGCTGCCATGATGATGATGTTGATGATGCTGTAGATGCTGATGACAATGATGATGAATGCTGATGATGATGGTGATGATGTTGATTATGATTATGATTATGATGATAAGGATGATGACGATGATTATGCTGATGATGCTGATGATGTTGCTGATGATGATGTTGATGACGAAGCTGATGATGATGGTGCTGCTGATGATGTTGCTGCTATTGATGATGATGTCGATGACGATGCTGATGATGAGGGTGATGCTGCTGATGCGGATAACGAGGAGGAAGAGCAGCAGGAGTGAGGAAGATATGCAGGACGAGCTTAGGGATGGGGATGAGAAGTAGGAGATGAGGGATGGTTGTGGGGAGAAGGGCTCCGCCCCCCTCCTCTCATTCCCTTTCCCCGTTTACCCATACTGTCCCACCATCCCCTACCCCCTGCCAAAATATCCCAGATCTCCAGCGTGGAGGTTACGACCTCCACTCCAGCAAAGGATGTCATCCATAGCGACATCAGAGCCTTTGTTCTGGAGACTTTGAAAGCCTCCTTGCCTCCTCGTGTACGGTCCTCCTTCTCCTCCTCCTCCTCATCACCATCTCGTTACCCTCATTCCTCTTGCCCTCCTCGCCTCCTCATGCGGCAGGCGACGAGGTTGCGAATCAAGAGTATCCAACAACATCGCCCTGCTCCTCCTCCTCCTCCTCCTCTTCCTCATCCTCCTCATCATAATCACCACCATCACCACCACCACCACCATCATCATAATAATCACAACGTCATCATCGTCGTCATCATCATCAGCATCACCATCATCAACTCCAACATCATCAGCAACATCATTATCATCACCATGATCATCCTCACGTGTGGTCCCTTGATCGTCATCCTCATCTTCATCTTCATCCTCCTCCTGTCTCTTCTCATCCTCTACTGTTGCTTCATCTCCTCTTCTTCATATTGTTAGTATTATTATTATTCCTCCTCCTCTTCATCCTCATCTTTCTCCTTCCCCTCCCTCCCTCCCCCCCCCCACAACTCCCTCCCTCCCTCCCACCCCTCCCACCTCTCCTCCCACTCCCTCCCACTTGCCCTCCCTCCCGCCCCGTCCATTCCGTTCCTATCCCTCCCTCCCTCCTATCCCTCCCGTCCATTCCTCCTCCTTCCCCATCCCCTCTCCCCAAACACCTCTCCCCGCCACCTTCGCCATCATGCTCCCTCCTCCTCCTCTTCCTCCTCCTCCTCCTCTTCCTCCTCCTTCTCCTCCTCCTGCTGCCCCTCTCCCTTCTTCCCACCCCTACTGCTTCACCCGTCCTGCTCCCCGGCGAGCCTCAGGGGGCTCGGGCTTGTTTGGGCGATGGATGTCGTGATGCCTGGCGATGGACCTCTCCTGCCGGGCCAGGAAGTTCTTGCCATCCTGCGGAGACAAGTCCGCTCCAGAGGAGGAGCTAGAGAGAGGGAGGGAGACCGGAAGGGAGGGGGGGCAGGGACGGATGGCAGAGGGCAGAGGAGCTCGAGGAGAAGAAGGAGGAGGAGGAGAGGGAGGGGAAAGAGGATGAGGAGGAGGAGGAGGAGGAGGAGGAGGAGAAGGAAGAGGGAGAGGAGGAGGACGAGGAGGAGGAGGTTTGGAACGCTACAAACATGGCACTTGAAGTCCGCCCAGCGAGGGGGGATGATAACGAGCAGAAAAGATGAGGAGAAGGAGAAGGAGGAGGAGAAGGAGAAGGAGAAGGAGAAGGAGAAGGAGAAGGAGAAGGGGGAGGAGGAGAAGGAGAAGGAGAAGGAGGAGGAGGCGTATGGTGATGATGATGATGATGATGATGATGATGATGGTGGTGCTGCTGCTGCTGATGATGATGATAATGATAATGATGATGATGACTATGGTGATGCTGCTGACGATGATGGCAGTGATACGGACGACGATGATGCTGAGGATGATGGTGATGACGTTGATGCTGATGGCGATAATGATGATGTTGGTAAGGATACAGATGGGGATGATGTTGATGCTGTTGGTAATGATGATAATGATGATGCTAAGCATGATGATGCTGATGATGATGATGATGATGACGGTGATACGGATGATGATGATGATGATGCTGATTATGATGATGATGGTGGTGGTGATGCTGATGATGATGATGAGGAGGAGGAGGAGAAGGAGAGGGATAATAACCATGATGATGATGATGATACAGATGATGATGATGATGATGATGATGATGATGATGATGATGATGATGATGATGATGATGATGATGATGCTCACGATGACGATGATGGTCATAATGAAGATTATGATGATGATGCTGATGATGATGGTGATCATGATGAAGACGAGAAGGATGAGGAGGAGAAGAGGGAGAGGATACAGGGATACTTGAGAAAGACGAGGAGGCAGGAGGACGATGATGAAGATGCGGATGGAAGGACGAGGATGCGGATATGGATGATGATCAAGCTGGTGGTAGTGAAGAAGACGCTGTTGAAGCTCTCTCGAATGATGAAGATGAGTACGGCTACCATGATGATGATAATGATGATGGTGATGATGATGCTGATGATGATCATGCAACGATGTCAAGGAGGATAAGGGGAAGGACGCGGATGATAAATGTGATGGTTGTCCCCTTCGGGATTCTTGCAAGGTTAAGTGTGACTCCTCCGCTCGGAAGAATGGCACGGATGTGTTGCTGGCGGCCGCTGGTTCATCTTATTAACAAAGCCAGAACGCAACGTGCATTAACTGGGCCTTGACGTATACCAGTGCGCCCGATATGTGTTGGCACCGCCTCGAGACAGCTCCCATCTTCCACGCAACGTACCAGGAGGCACGCTGCGGGAGCGCTGTCAGTGAGGCAGCAAAAAGGGACATGCCACTGTAGTCTTCCGAACAGTCTCGGGAACGTGACCAGACCACGCGTCAAGCAGAGATGTGTGTCTACGTACAGTGAGGCGAGGGCGGGCTACAACGTGCTGTTGCGGTGTGCCTGGCACCGAGAGGCGACGGGCATTCTGAGCAACCACAAAGGCATCGACACAAGCGGCGAGCCTTACACAGGCTGGGGGGGATATAAAAAAGAGGCGGAGATCAGAAAGGAACCAACGAAAGCTCACGGGACCTCGACTGACACATAAACCACGTTGAAGCCACGTTCTGAATGTACCTTCCAACATAGGGCAAATAGAGAATACAATCAAGGCCAGCACCATCAGCATGCTCGGGACATCCACAAGGACGTACAACTGTATGTTGATGGGAACGGGTCGATACATTAAACGACGCCGTCCGAAGGCGCAGCGGAACAACGCCGATACACATAAGGGGAATCTTGACAACTTGCCTGGCAGTTCCGAACAAAAGCACGAAACCTGGGACTGGTCATCCTCGGGCAGGAGGTATCTGGCACGACGGAGAAGCGCGCCCTGGACGGGTTCAGAAGGATGTTGCAGGCGAATGAACGTATGCGGCTTATCATGGAGAGAACGAGGCGGCGCAGTCAGCCCAGAAGGCGGACCAAAATACCAGCCCCTCACGCCTCAAATAAGCAAGGAAAACCTTCTGATGCCAACCGTCCACGGTGCCAACGATAGGGAAGGTTCTCCGGGTCATCCCTCGCCAGGTCGAGTTTAGACATAACCTCCTGGAGCGACGACGATTACAACATGAAACGAAGGGGAGGGGCTTTCGTAACAGCGTGTATGTCAACAAACTCACAGCCAAGCCCGATCTGATTGAACTTGGTGGCGATACGAGAAGGGATCGGAATACGAAGTCCACCAACAAGAAGAACGACTCAGTCCGTAAAACTCTTCACCACCTGATGGGAGGGAGGGTACAACTGGAACCAGAAGAGGAGCCTGGAAACACACATCACCTCACCGCAACTATCAAAGCGTGCTATACCAAGACCAATTTGACGCGCGCGCCGTACCCGAGAGTTGAACGCAAGCATGATATCGTGCCGCACATTCTGCTCAGCGTCTGGGCCAACACGGACGCCCAACACACATCGTCCATGTGGCAACTTGGATCTCTGCAAGCGGAGCCCAGAAGCTCTTGAAAGCATCAAGAAATCTGTTAATTGGTGCTGCCACAGATCACAATCTGACATGTCGGGACACTGAGCTTCACATTCGCGATACCAAGACGCAACATGACCTAGGATCGCACAGGGCCAAGACCTTTGACACCAAACAGGAAGTCGTCGGCGCATTCGAGATTCAAGTGAATGTGACTGCTGAGACACATCAAGGCAGGACAACCTTGCTTGACCCCCGATTCAGCAGCAGTTGAGTCAACGTGACGGTCCCCTATGGAGAAATAACCCCCATAATGCAATCGTACATCAACTCAAAGGAACTGACCACGTGATGGCATATGAACAGATGTGTGAGTACGGAGAAAAACCGTACCTGCGCGAGGGAAGGGGAATGCAATAATGCATCGAGAAGAAAGAACGCAGCGTGCCTGTCATCACGCGTGTGGCGGATCAGGCCCGAAGTTCATGATGATGGTGATTGATGATGATGATGATGATGATGATGATGATGATGATGATGATGATGATGATGATGCTGATGATGATGATGATGATGATGGTGATGTCGATGCTGATGCTGATGCTGATGCTGATGATGATGACGGTGATGGTGATGATTATGATAATAATGATGATAATGATGATGATGATGATGATGATGATGATGATGATGATGATGATGATGATGATGATGATGATGATGATGATGATGATGATGATGATGATGATGATGATGATGATGATGATGATGGGGAGGGAGACGAGGAAAGGGCGGCGGCGTAGCGGCGGAATGTTGTCAGGCCGAGTCGATCCAAGACAGGGCCCAGCTACGTGCTAAAGCGATTCTGCGATGTGCGACTTATCTTGCGCGTCGAATCCGAAGCGGGGAACCCTGAGTTGACCTCGCTCCAACAGGTAGGCCTGGCGAGCCTAATCGAAGCCACGCATCCGAAGGTCACGCGCGAATCAGTGTGCCAAGGTGCGAAGGGGGACAGCAGGAGGAGCAGAGGCGGCGGGGAGGAAGAGCGGCGAGCCCTGCCTGGGTGCTCGACGAACGAATTCGGCGGGCCCGAAAGCAGGATCCGAGGATGAGGAGGGGGTCCCTGGAGGGCATGCGGAAGTACATGGAGGTCCCCAAAGGCCCGAACGGGATCAGTCGCGCCCAAAAACCTCGGAGCTCGATCCTCTAAAAACCCGGGGCGAGGGCCCGAGTGGTGGAGGGAGGAGGAGGAGGAGGAGGAGGAGGAGGAGGAGGAGGAAGAGGCCACCGTACTAGGAGTCCCAAGTCACGCCCTACCCCTGGGATCAGTCGCGCCCAAAAACCTCGGAGCTCGATCCTCTAAAAACCCGAGGCGAGGGCCTGAGTGGAGGAGGGAGGGGGAAGAGGAGGAGGCCACCGCACTAGGAGCCCCAAGTCACGCCCTGCCCCTCAACCCCGTGATCTGGGCGTGCGAGCCTCAGGATCCCCGAGTGCCGCCCTGGCAGCCGCCCCGTCGGCCGCGAGCCTGTGGGCCTGCATGAGGAGGGCGAGGAGGAGGAGGAGGAGGAGGAGGAGGAGGAGGAGGACGAGGAGGGAGGAGGAGGAGGAGGAGGATGAGGAGGAGGAGGAGGAGGAGAAGGAGGAGAAGGAGGGAGGGGAGGACGAAGAGGAGGAGGAGGAGGCGGAGGAGGCGGAGGAGGAGCAAAAGAACGGAACAGCACACAACGATTCTGGGGGGCCGCATCCATGAGCCACCTCACGGCGCCACAATTGCCCCCAGAGTGGCCTTCGCAGGCAGCTTCACCTCGCCATCGCTCGGACGTCCATTCCCTGTGTTTTGTTCGGTTTCGTGTGTGTTTTTTTCGCCAGATGATCAAGGATGCTCCTCGATGGTCCTCGCCGAAGGAAAAATGCACACGTCCGAGCGATGCCAAGCCGCAGGCAGTTTCACTCGGTTTCCAACCTCCGCGGGCACGGCCACGCGCTCGGGCCTCGGCCCGCCCTGCGGACCGGGCATGCGCGCTCCGAGGGGGGGCGGCGGCGCGGCTCAGACGCACAAAGCAGACAGCCATCGAGGCCATACAAGACACAACAAGCTACCCTTGGTTTGTCTTGATTTGGTTTTGGTTTTGAAATCCTCTGAGTTGGTGTTGGTTTGATTTGGTTTTGGTTTTGGTTTTGAAATCCTCTGAGTTGGTTTGTCTTGATTTGGATTTGTCGCCCACGATCTAGGCTTTGGTTTTGAAATCCTCCGCTCCTGAGCCGTAAATCGGCGAGAGTCTCCTGAGATTCCTCGCAGGACCTGAACTTCGGCCAAACGGAAGGGCTGGGCCCCCCCCGAAGAGGAGGAAGCAGCAGCAGCACCAGCACTCCAAGGAGGAGGACGAG